GAGTCTGAACATCCTGCTTGTGCCATTTTCTTGTGCCTTGTACTCATCCTTAGGTTCATTTATTTATCTATAATTTCAATTTTAAACAGAATTCTTCTGTATACATCTCTTCTGTGATTTGCTTGATCTGCTCCTGATAAGCAATTTAGGATGCATTAGTTATCTGGAATTCCATAGTCAGATATTTGGTTGCTTCTATCATACAGGGGCTACTTTTCAAAAAGAGAACAATTGTTGCCTTAGTCAGTCATTTCCAAAAGCTCTTTAATATGATCATGGGTTATGATACAGTTTGGGGTATCCAGAGATTACCATCAATTCAAAAACTTTAGTAATCACTCTTACAATGTCTTGGTATCTCTCTTGTCTTAGTGCACAGTCAACCTGGAAAGTATTTGCAGGTCCACTGGGGAAATTTTGATGAAAGATTCATAGTGTACCAGTGGCTATAGAGGGCTTGCCTTCTCATTTGTTAGGAATGAAGTAGAGAAACACCACTACAACAACTTGAGTTAGGGTTTCTAACATACCTACTTTCTTTTCTGCCTAAATATGTCAGGCAGCATCTGACAGGTTGTCCAATTATCTCACTTTAGGAATGCTCTTATTACTATCACGACAGATCCCTGTAGGTCAAAAATCCTCTCATTAGCATTTTATTACTGTGGCTTATTTTGGTGTTGCACTCACTTTGCCTTAGCTAATTAAGCCTTGTTACCTCTCTTCCACCACTCTGGGATCCAATAATTCACATTAAGATTAGGTAGTAAAATTTTACTGCAGCATTCTCCACCATCACCTTCAACTCATAAAGACACACAGAAATCTTTAAGGATGCTGACAACCCTCTCACCAATGCATTTCACAATGGCTTAGAGTGTGCCTGCACAAATGCCCCTATCCCATACATAAGGGTTCCATTCCATCCCTACTACTGTTCTTAATTTATTGTAAAAACCATAGCAGATGGAGCATTTCATTGTCAATAGAACTGCAACACTACAAGGACCTGGGCTTGGTCTTCAGCTGTGCCTGCCCTAAGACAAAAGACTCTCTCAAACCTGCCATGAAAGCTTTCTGGTGCTCTACATGTGTTCTTAACCTCCAATGTTCTCATTTCCCTATGCATACTCTATATGAACACATACTCCCACATGTTTTTGATAATTATTTCATCTCCATGAAGTAGGCCTGAAAGACAAATGAAGAGAACTACTAAATATATAGAGCCTATGGAGAAAGCCACCTCCTAGGAACCTTAGATAAAGGACTCTGCTAGCATGTGCTGACACCTTCAGGGAACAAGTTGGAAGAAAAATTTCCTGACCACATTCTCCATTACAGGATTAAAGAGATCAAAAGAGCCATCTGATGTGGTCCATGTAAGCCATTCTTCCTTGGATCACAGAGCAGGGTAGAGAAGAATGGAGATTGAACCGGGATGGGAAGATGGGGAAATATGCAGCAAATTAGTGACGGTCATGGGGAAAAGTGCCTGCACTGGAAAAGAGCACCTCTATTTAGCTTTATATACATTGTGAGGAGAAAGGGAAAAAAACATTATTCTTCAAGGTTATCTGGGGCAGAATTGAGATTTGCTTGAATTTTTCTATTAAAATAAGAAATGCACATGGATATTGACCCATGGTAAAAGCATAGAGCATGCTGAATTAAGCATATTGTCTTATAATCATGAATTTGAGGAGTTTTGAGTGATTTGTATCAGCTCATCAGTTTTATTAATTTCAGTCAGATTATTTGTTTCTGATCTAGATGGACCTTTCTTCCAAGGATTCTGCTGTTGGGGCTGGCGATGCAGCAAGAATATGCCTACATGTATGAATTGCCAAGATCATTGTAATGTCATGTGTAGCTAATAAAAAAATAAAATTAAAAAAAAAGAATATGCCTACATAAGCAGCAGTGTACCAGAGACCCTCTTTTGTGCTCTCTGGTTCCATGTACACATCAGTGTTTCTGGACCCAAAATATATACATCTTTTCAGAGCTCTTATAGAGAGGGAAGATGATTGGAGGTCATACCTAGCCATTCTAGATCCCTTGCTATGAAATTTTGGCTATGGTGTATATCCATGCTACTTCTATGTTACATTCTTTTTTCTTCAATAAACTTTAGATTTGCAAACATTGCCATTTGTGGTCCTATGAGTCTCCCATAGTAATAAAACTGGTTAGCTACCCTAGTTTTCAGGGCATCTGAAGCAGAAAATACAACATACTACAAGGTGCCTTGCTTATGCCTTTATTTATAGGCATAATTTTCTCTAAAGACACTTGCAGGTTCTGTTCAGTAGATATAGTAATTGTTGCCTGTTGGATTCTTACTCCCAAAATTTGTTTTATACTTTAGAAAGGTCTTCCCTCCCTCACCATCCAAAAATAAGAGAGACACTATAATTCTTTTTTCTGCTTACTTTATGGTTTGCACTGAATGTGACTGAAATCATAATGAATATATAAATCAATGCCCTTTTAGTGTGAATTAGAATCACTTAGGATGCCTGATAAAAACAGAGATTCCAGAGATTTATTCACTGGAACTTAGGAGTGGGTCAAATAGTTGACATTTTCTTTTGGTGATTTTGATAGGTGTCAAGCTAACGCACCTTAAAATGCATTAGTAATGGCTGGTGATGTATCTCAGGGATAGAATGATTTTCTAGTGTGTGTGTGAGGCCCTGGGTACAACCCCAGGACTAATGCATTAATCAAATGAGATAGGGTTAAATTTGTGGTACAAGCCATTTTCCATAGTGTTCCTTTTGGAACTGCAAGTAAACACTGCTAAAGAAGACTCCACAATTATTTATGTAGATAGGGAATTATGTGGGACAAAAACTCTTGATTCAGCTACTATTATTTCTAAATTCATTAAGAACTGTGCTAGGCACTAGGGGTACCAGGATAAAGGTCAGATTGTGCTTTGAAAAGCAGAATCCAATGTTTTCCAATTTTTTAAAACTCCAGCCCACAGCCAGAAATAAATTATTCACAATTCAGGTACACACATGTACATGTATACATAACTGAAACACAAATTTCACAAAAATATATGCACTTTATCTACCTGAAATATAGTCTGATATTTACTATCTGGCTCTGATTTTATTATATACCATTTAATTAAACATATTGCAAGTCTTCACTGAATTTAAGATATACTAATCAATGTAGGGGGATGAAACTGCAGTTTGACAACACAGGTCTACTTAATAATCTGTGATGTATGTATTATATAATGCATATATTTATCTTCCTAGAAACCTATTTCATGAGGTAAGAGTGGGGTGGCTGAGGAGAGTCTCCTTATAAGCCAGTGTTTGTTTTTTGGGGGGAGATATTGGTGATTGAACTCCACCACTGAGCCACATCCCCAGCCCTACTTTGTATTTTATTTAGAGTCAGGTCTCACTGAGTTGCTTAGCACCTCACTTTTGCTGAGGCTGAGCTTTGAACTCACAATCTTCTTTGCCTTAGCTTTCTGAGCTGTTGGGATTGTAGGCATGCACCACTGCACCTGGCATAAAGCCAGTGTTTCTCAAACTTCAATATGCACAGAAATCACCTCAGGGTATTGTTAAAATGAAGATTTTGATTCAGTATGTTTGGTGTAGGGACCTGAGATTCTGTATTTTCTAACTTTCTCTCAGATGATGTTGATGCAGCTCATCCACAGATCACTTTTTGTGTAGCAATGCTCTAATATTCACAAATGTATTAAACTGGTAAGGCAGTACCTACCAAGAGTTACCTAGGACAAAATTTCTTCTAAGGATGACAAAAAATTGGACAAGTCACTGACATATGAGAATAGCAAGTGTGTTATTCAAAATTTACCCCAGTCTCTCACATCTGAATCTGGTAGAGAGACTGCTGCATGCAAAAATGCTATCAACCAACCGAGAAAGAATTATTTTACTAAAAATATGAAATCCATCAGGGGCCAAAGTTATCATTGAGATGCTACTAAATTTGGTAAGTAAAACTCAAAAGTGAGGAAAAGGGTATTATCCATATTTCTATAGATGTCATGGCTTGGAATAGAGTTGACTTGGTTTACTGGAGATTCCAGAGAAATCAATTGGGCTTTGTCTTGATGCCTGCCCATCAGCAACACTGGGATCCTTTGGAGGTTGCAAGATTTATGAGAAGGGGCACAGTGCCTAGCAGACATGGTATTACATAGGGGAGGATAATACCTACCTTTCAACTTCCTGAATGTAACCCCAGGTACAGGTGAGATGTACCCCAGTCTTTCTCCAAGTGTCTAAAGGAGTCTTGGTTCTGCTAGTACTGGGGATAAAGTAGAAGGCAATCTAACACATTTCACACACTTTGTACTTCAGGTAATATACTCAGCAGTTATGGAATGCAAGTATTATCCCCATTTGACAGATAAGAGAACAGTCCCTTACGAGTAAGGGGTTTGTAATAACCATAGATTCCTCCAAATATGAGTCCCAGAGGTAATGGGAGTTTTACCTACAATTTTAGTTTTGACAACAAGAATTTTAAGTGTTTCCACAGCCTTTATAAGCTTATTGAACAATTTTTCCATTGTTATTTATGTACTGTTTTCTAATTTTTAAATATCTTATCACTTTGTGTGAGATAAGAAATCTGTTTTCTTTAGGAAAAAAATAAACAGACAAGTTGAAAGGAAACAAGGAAAGAAAATCACCCACAGCCCACAACTCAGAAAAACAATTGTTAACCTTTTAGGGATCAAAACTTTCTATCTTCCCTGTGCATACATACACTACACTTTCCTTTTACAAAAACAAACAGATTCTGTAGATGATACTGTAAACTCCTTTATTTTTCCAAAATCACAACAACTTTGCAATACACATGGGGAAAATTCCCTACATAAACACAAAAAGAGTGCTACAATAGTGTCAAAAGAACTTCTGGTAACAGAAGAGACACTTAATGTATTAGCTTAAAACACAAGACCTGGCAATTGCCTGCCAGGAGCACTACACATAGGGAATGTCTTCAAGGTCTCTCCGTGGGGCTCTACAGCCACCCCTGAATTCCCTTGGGCCCCTTGGGTAGAAGGGGTCCTCTAAATTTCTTTGCATCCACAAAAGCCTCCCTAATTTCTGTCTGCTTTTTCTCATGTCATCCTTCACCTTAGCCATACTGTCAAATTCTCTTATCATATCCTCATTGCTGAAATTCATATCATGTATGGACTCTTTATACTCCTTGAGGTAATGAGCCAGCCCCTTGTCAGTTTTTCTTTTGGCTTTCCTGGGTATGTCATCTTCAGCCAGGCGCTTTTCTGCAGCCCTTGTTTCACTTTCTGGCTTTCCTGAGCACTCTGGCTTTTCCTCACTTTCCACCTTTCCCTCTCTCTCTGGCTTTCCTTCCTCTTTTGCTGTTCTCTTACTCTCTGGCTTTTCCTTATCCTTCAGCATTTCCTGATGTGCAGTCTTTTCCTCATTTTCTAACATTTCCTTGTCTTTCAGAGTACAGGCTCCTTCTGGCTTTTCCTCATCCTGTGGCTGTTCTTCATTTTCCTTCTTTCCTTGGTTGGAAGGTGTTCCTCTGTTTTCACTGTAGAGTTCTTCCATGTCACGATTTCCTCTCCTTTTCCTGTCCTGGGAATGGGGGAAGAGAAGAGAAGACTAAGAAGAGACATGGGAAACTGAATGGGGGTGTAACACAGGTCCACAGGGTATTGCATCTTGCCCTTGTGAGAGTTCCTCTTAGCTTGCCCAGCCCTCCAAGTGTGCCTCTGCAAGCCCCTTACCACACATTCCTACCCCTACAGCAAGCATTCCCGGGACTGTGCCCTCCGCACTCTTTACCCCTTCTGGGTCCCTGTCCGTGCTGCACACCCCGCCTCACTGACCTGCAGGGATCCTGGGCGGGTTGCTCCTCTTTTACAGGCCTCCCAGAGCTCTGGGAACAGATGCGCAGACCTGCAGACAGGATACGGGGCGGAGCAGGGCGCTCAGGACTGACAGGGACTGGGGTCCGTTTTTTAAATCCAGGCCCTCCTCACTCAACCTTCTCCTCTACTTCAAGTCGCCATTTCTTTTCAGGTCTTGGGCATCAAACCAGGATACTTTGCACAGTATGTTTGGGTCTGCACGTCCCCCTACCCGAAGGCAACCTGCCTCACCCCTTCCCCGCTTTTGCCCAGGTTATGCAGTTCCATTTCATAGGTGCAGAGTATGAGAAGGGGGTTATTTCCAGAAGGCGTCTACGTTTCACTGTCGCATTGCAGGGTTGCCCCCCACCGCATGACTTGCTCTAAAATGGATGGAGGAATGGGGCGGAGGTTCGAGAAGGCACCTGGACTTCTGCAAGGCCCTTCAGTCCCTGCCGCTCCGGGTCCCCCTCCTCACTGATCTCGCTGATCCCTTCCCCCGCCCCCAGCCAACTGCAGAAGGATCCTGCTGCCACCCACCTCCACCCCTGCCCAGGGTCTGATGACAGCCCCTGCCTTCGTACTGACCTTCAAAGACCCAGGACAGACCTGCGTGTGTCCTCTAGCTCACGGAAGCCTTCTAAGGATCACCCGCCACCCAGAAGAGAGTTCTGTACGGGTGCAGGGATCCAACTGCAGGGCGCGCGATCAGGCAGGCGCAAAGGCTAATGCCTAGGTTGGGCCCCAGCTGGTCACGTGAAAGCTGCGTCACTTGAGTTTACCCGCGGCTCCCCCCAATACTATGCCAAAGCACCTCACCCCCCCCACAAATCCTAGAGACTTTGAAGCTGCTGAAGAGGTGTGTGTGTGTGTGTGTGTGTGTGTGTGTGTGTGTGTGAGAGAGAGAGAGAGAGAGAGAGAGAGAGAGAGAGAGAGAGAGAGAG